GTTTTATCCGAAAGGATATACCTATAGATTGATCCCATATATCTTTTATCAGTCATACCAATTTTGGTTTTTAAATCAAATAATTGATTTTGGCACAAATGATCTCGGTTTTTTGTGGAACCTAATATTAATTATTGTTGATGGAACAGATTATCGGTTACTGAACATGGAATACGTTCTAACGAGCAAATAATGAGAGGCAACTGCAACATAACACTTTTAGTGAGACAGCATCGCAAAATATTTTGGGAACACGAAATAAGCTATTTTTAATTGGTTCATGGAAACTTTGCATTGTTTTATTATCCTTAAAGTTGCAAAGGAAGTAGGCGTAAAGTTTGTTTTCAAGGTTCACGTGATAGCAACGTTCCCTGGCGGTATACAGGTAAGCGGATTAAAATACTTTGATACGAGTCTTTGTCAGGAACTGATACCGTGTATATGCGTATTATTGCGTATTAATATTATAATATTTGTTTTGGGAGTCTTTACATTTACAGTATTATTTTAAGTGTACTTTAATCGATATCTTCACAGTGAACCGTATGACCATTATTTTCTTAATTAAAAAGATTTAAAATGGCATATTATTTTAACTGTACTGTTTTAATTTTAAATGGATAATTTTAAATGTTTCTGTGGTTTATATTCATTCGTTAAATAAATATATAACGGCAATAAATTTGACAGCAACCCTGTCCTTGTAGAATTTTAAACCTTTTTAAAAAAGAATAATAAAAATCGGTTTAAAATTGACAATGACATCGCGTAACAGACATATAAAAGAAAATACAGACGAACTGAGAAGTTATTACTTTTTATCGTTTAGAAAACAGCTGTATATTGCGAATACACTAGTAATAATAATAGTTGCGACTAATCTCGGGGATTATTTGACTACATTTAATAGGCAAAAGAAAGTCTGCGCTAGCGTTAACGAATTACGAACAGGCGTATCTGTTTTGTGCTAAATTGTAACCGGAATGTTCTTAAGGCAATGCCCTTTTGAAGGTTACTGCTATTTTAAGATGATTCAGCAATGATTTCTCTTGTAACATATGCAAATTACACTTTTACTTCCTCCACACAACACATACTTTATCAGACTCGTTCTTGCTATCTAAATCACGTAACGGCCAGGTCGTTACCCTCATTATCACTTTGCACGATAAAATGGAATACGGAAAAAATCCATCTTGTATAGTGATAAAAAACGAACCAGTTTCAGATGGCCTTCGAAAGCTATGATCGTTGTTGGGAAACGGGGTCACGTTTGCTAGTCGCAACAGAATGCTCCAGGTCTTTGTATTTAGTGTACTGTTAATAACATAAATTGGTAAGTAAACACGGCGTGTCCTTGGATGCGGTTCGTTGGTGCCGTTGAGGTCGCGAGAGGTCGTAACTATTGTAATCTTACATCTATGGTTTCATTTGAAATTTATTGGTTTATTTTTACGTGGCAGATTTTTTCATTAGATTTTTTTATTCTCTATTCTGTTTTAAGAGTCAGTTTTGTTAAAAACTCTACTGAAGTTGTTTAGGCTACCAAATATAAATCGATGACTACAAGTCTACATTATTAGATCACAATGAAAATTGTAAACAAACAAATAATTAAGCTGACTGTTAGATTGTTGATATTCAATAGTAGTACAAAACAAAAGTAGATTAATTGATTGAATGTTTCGATTTACTACTAATTTCATTAAAATAACATTTCTGCGATAATTTCAACAAAACATGGTTAGTTTGTATTAAGTTCTGTTGAAATATACAATATTAGCCATTTGCTCAAATTCTGGATTTAGACTAAAAGAATAAAGAGCACAGCTAGAATTCAGAACCAACTATGTTTAAATTTTTATTAAAATATATTTTTCATGACAGCAACAAAGAATGCGCTTAGAATATTCTTATCCATCCCTGAACGCTTATACCAAACAAAATTCGGGAGAATAAAGTTTAAGAGAGCTTTCTTATTTGATCTCAATTCATCTTTAAAGAAACCATAAACTTCCATCCATTACAAAAAGATCAAAATTCAGCATTATTAAGTTGCACGTTATTGAGTAGCACGTTTAATTTTATATAGGGAACTTTTCAAAGTAGATTTGATTGATAAGAACAAATTTAAAAGATTAATTATTACGATAATCCGTTTATATATTTCTGTATTTAAGATAACACAATAATAATGTGTTACTAGGTAAATTAATAACTCACGTGTTTAAATGAATTGAGAAAAGATTTGATTTTTCAAACTCTTACAAATATAATGAATAATAATATGTGACACAAACGTTGAATATAAAATAAAGATGAATTTTAAATTAAATAAAGTATTTTGTATACTTAATTGGTTTTAAAATTTATCTATAGAAAGCTGTATTATTAGCGAGTAATATGGGCTGTAGTTTATAAACAAAAATCGGGTAAAAATCTCAAGAATAAATAAAAATTGTTAACTCAGAAGCTCCAAGTCGCTCAGGGTGTGAGCGTCATGAGCTATAGAGAGAGCTATATTCGGAGTTTTGATAACGATAAAAATCGAAATAAATACATTCGCAGAGATAAAGGGATATATAGGTATAGCTCGAAAGATAGGTAAGAAGATTGAAAGACAAATGCATTGTAGGATGTACCTTATTAGATGAAACGACAACCTCAAATGTGTTGTTTGAGGCATTTCACCGGTGTCCACGAACTCAGTGAGTTAGCGGATGCCGATGAATCAAGATCTTTCTTTATAGTAGAGGGATACTTTGTGATTTGGTATAAAGAGTGAAATATGGCAATAAAATTACAGTGTACAGAGGCATAACACTTTAGACCTTAGAAATGGTAACGCATGAAGGGTATTATGAGCAATACAGTATACTCTGTTAGATCCATATTGTTCATATGTATAGAGGCAACGGTTACTGATCATCTAGTGGGCTGTTATCTTAAATGCCATTATAAGTCGCATAAAAAACCCCTATGGGGAGGCCTATGATCAACGATAGACAATTAAATAATGAAGTATAATTACAAACAGTTCCTTACTGTGTGAGCCTTAGCAATAAATTGTGTAATAAGTGACTTGTCATGTCAATAAAGTTACAATTCAATTGTTCACATTAAGTGGTAGCCACAATGACATCAGCAGCGCCCCCTTGCGTTTATTAATGGTTGAAGGCTATAAGAAATATTGTGCTTCTTTGTGTTAGTATGTAGGCCAGATTATTGTTCAGCCCCAACTGTTACGTTGTTATAAACAGTTATATTAAGGGGCCAATGCACTTGCCGATATTCACTAGCCCTTAACATCAATAGTAGATAGACAGAAATAGACAAGTATAATAGACAAGACGATATTTGTACAAAGTCTCCCTCTGGCAAATCTATTATATATATATATTATATATATATATATATATATATATATATATATATATATATATATATATATATTATATATATATATATATATATATATATATATATATATATATATATAATATATATATATATAGATGAACTTAATATCAAAACGTATTTTCGAATTTATTTTTGTATCTCGTAAACGTATTAAGATAAAAATGTCCAATGAAGCAAAATCTTATTAATTTAGTCGGTGGCATTATTTATTTTTTTACAAACGATTTGATAAGATTGAAATATTTAATTATTACTAATGAAGATGGAGAACAGAAGCAAAATATTTAATTGCTCGAAGAAAATTTATGGGTTCGATTGCAAAACCGTCCAGAGTTTTGTTTTATAAAATGTGACCTCTAAAAATCTCTAAGAATACGTAGATTTGTTTTTGTTAAATGTATATTTTTGATAAAATAACCTCAAATCTTAAATGGTACGTATTGCGTAAACCAGCCACAGACACACGCAGTTATAAGCTTGAATTAATATAAATTGAGAAATTATTTTCATAAGAGAGTGCTTTTCGTCTGACAAGTGTGTTAAGTCCTTGTCACAGAAAGTAGGTCGAGTATTACAGAATACAGAAGTGTTAGATTACATTACTGAAAGAAAGCGGCCATTTCCTTCGATTATACATAAGTGCTTTCCGATAATAAGCGGCGTCTGCTTATATAATATTTTTCTTACCGTATCAAAATGTTTTTAGTAAGTGATTTACCAAATTGACTATGTACATAATATATGTACATAAGACCTCAATTGCCAATTATATGAAAATTGAGGTCTTTCATTATTAAATTAAAATATTTTTATTATAATATATAGTAAATGTTTGTCTATATATTATATCTAATAATAAAAATATTAAATACCGTAGGTTCATGACAGTGCACAATCAATATACACAATACGTTTATATCTATAGGGTGGTAATATGTAAATATATCCTTTCAAATAATAAAGAATTTTCTCAGTTGGTTTATAAATAATGGAGCTAGGAGTTCGGCTGTTTTTATTTCAAATATAAAAAAATAACTGAATTATAATTTTTTGGAGTAGGTTGAAAAGTCATTTGCACGGGTAAATCTGTCCCACTCGTGTTTCTAACGCCAAGAAACTGTTTGGATGGTTATGTTTCGGTTATATAGAATAAATATTGCAGTGATATTACTGCGTATGGATTATGAAATTATAACACTTTAGTAGGTCTGAGTATTCACCGCATGAGAGTATCTTGGGCATCGTAATATGTGATATTAATGATGCAGCTCAAATCTATATGCGACAGCTATCATTTTTTGTCATTGGAACCGTTAGGTTATTTACAGGCCCTCGAGCTCCACCTTTAGATCACACTATCGTTTTTTTTGTCAGGTGAGATCGTGATTAATCGCGGGATCCTTCAATAGTAAAAAAAAAAAAAAATTGTCAACTCATGTTCAAAAAGTTCTAGTATATTATGCAGTACCAAAACTAGTCATGCGATAGATGAGTAACGTAGTAATGGAAAGGATATTTTGGGCCCAAAAACGCATCAAAGGAGCTCAACTTCACAGGCAAGATTGAAGTGACGCACTCACCTATTTTCCCGTTAGGACTATAAGGGCCGTAGCTGCTCGAGGACAGTGGGGAGGAGTAGCCGTTATTTGGCTGGGTCTGGGCGGCTTGCGGGGAAGGCGACCCGCCCCCCGCGGCGCCTCCTCCCGCCATCCAGTCCCGCACGTGACCGTTGACTTGGTGGCCGTTGTGGCTGACCCCCGGCTCGGCTTTGACCTGACTCGGCAGGCCGCGGTATGCCACCTCGTGTTTCAAATCCATGCCGCTGCTACCGCATGCTGCTGCTCCGCCGCTGGCCCCGCCGCCCGCACTCCACACTTCTGTGGAAAAGATACATATATGTTTTAGCCTAATACAATATAATTTCTTTCCATAATTAAACTTATATTATAAAAATGACAGATTTGTATATTTTTGTTTATAATTGGTAAATTCAAAAAATAGTCAACCTATTTTAAAAATTTATTACCTATAGAAAGCTACATTATCAGCAAATAACATAAGCTAAATTTAATAAAAAAAATAGAAATCTAGTGCTTATGGTAGCAGGAATATGTAAAACCTTGTTTTTGTAAATGCAAATATATTATTATTTTATTTATCATTTAGCAATAATATAAACCTACATGGTTTCTAAATGTTAACAAAACATGTTTTCTATAATTCGAATTTTTGTAATAATAAATAAATAAAAAAAAATTATAGAAATTACGAAGACCAATACAAAATGTTTGTATCATGCAAGGATCGAACTCGCAGTCATCGTAAAGGAGGCAGCATAACCAAGGTCGTCTTTGTAATCGTTGTTACGATACGGAAGTGGACCGTTATCGTAGAGCAATTTAAACCTCACCCCCATTTCGAGGTTGTGTTGTTTTTATGGGATGAAAATGGAATGTAACCCCGCCTGCGTTATTATTAACGCTGGCAAAGTAGCAGTGAATGATGATAAGTTAGGAGGAAATGGCCCATCGTGACAAATTCACCAAGATTTAACCATGTTGATTTCCTGGAGGGACTGCATGGAGGTCACCCTGATAAGGTATACATTTTGTTATGGGATGAAAATGTTAAGGTAATCGTTACTATGCTATAGGTATACGCTGTATACGCGGGGTACTAATAAGTGATGATAGTTGAAAGAATGAAGTTTGGTCAGTAGGCCTATTGTGACCAATTCACCATTAATTAACTACTTACAATGTTTTCAGCGTAATAACACTCTTCTAGTATATTGTATAGTAGTTAAATTTGGATTCTTCTGTTGTTGCTACATACGCTTATGTGACATTTCGAGAACTAATATTCTTCTTGTCGTAAGAACATAATTATGGCCTTAGCAACTGAATGAACAACACAAAACTGATCCTCAGACATTTTTACGAGTATGATCATAGCGTTCATCCAACTAAATAACTCTTCATACATGGCTTAATCTTGTAACGTTTCACTGAGCTGACTGTAGATATAATATCTTCGGTAAAGTAAATATAAAACGTAATTATTTACTTTCGTGGAGCAATACCACGTCGCCAACGACTTGGTCCCTTTGAAAATGAAGTCTTTTCTCAGTATAAATATAAGTATATACTGCCAAATACCACAGTCTCATTCGACTTGAATTAATGATTATTATAAAATAATGGCGATAATATTAAGTCATTAAGTTTTCATTTAGATAAAATTCTTCTTTATTTATATTTTGTACACGATTTTTTAGTATAACACTCCTTAATCCAAACTTCTATCAAATACTAGCAAGGTTAATTAGAAGACATCTTTGTTTATCTTTATTTTATTTCAAAGATTATAAGATTGATAATATGATAAATTTGTTCTGTATTTTTTACCGTATTAGTATTTAGTATACACTAAAAAATACAGAATAAATTTACTTTTATGGCATTAGATTACATTCCTAAAATAGACGGTAGAAGAAATTACAATTGGCTCAATATTACTAAAGTACTTTAACTGACCAAACAAAGAACAATGTCGATGATATTTTAGATATCTTTGATCGCATCGTAAGATTATTAACAGTTATACTGAACATGCTTTTCGAGCTTTGAAGTTGAAACACAAAGGAAATCATGAGTGTTATAAAAGCATTTGTGATTTAAAAAAATTGCTTTAGAATTTTCAAGTATCTAATATAATTTTTCTAAGTCATTGAATTGTGGACAAATAGTTTTGTATGAAATGACTGATCATTATTTATCGAATTAATTAATGCAAGAGAAGAGATATTTACCTCGTAAAGGATTGACGAAACATATCTATTAATAAAACATACCTATTAATAAATATATCTATTAAGATAAAAATAAATACAATAAAACACCTTAATTACCATTGTGCTCTTTGTTCTGTTCAGAATTTCATTGAAAGCAATGTAAACTGTTTTCGATGATAAACTACTTGCACTAAGATTCATGATTAATGAAATTGAAATTTCATTGTATGTAAATCCAGATTTGATCTAAGAGGGTATAACAAGTGCAATGAACACGTCGTAAAAGGTAGTCGTTAAATTTGACACGTGTATAAATGCTAATGTCCGAATTCGATTATGCGTTATTCGCATGTGACAAAATCAAAGCAATTTAGATTGGATTGGTATGGCTAAACAAAATAAAAATCTTAATAATAATTATCGTCTTTAACATTTCTATTTAAATATTTCTAAGGATATGAAAATTTTCAGTGCTGTAGATTTTAAATTAAGCTATCAGACTCGCGGTCGTAAACCACAGCGTTGCCAAGATTAACTGGAATCTTCTACCGGGATAATGTGAATCCTTGGTTGTTAGCAATTCGCCCTGCATTGTTTGTCGTTGTGGAATAAGATACACCGCTTTATAGCTATCTATGTGAAAAGATTTATATGGTTCTACATTATATTATGTAAAACTACAAGTATCCTTTCAAAACCGTTGCCAGCTACTTTTTATTTTAAGATACATGTCTTCATCTTAGTATTAAAATAACTAGTATGCTTAAGTATATGAGCAAAACAGAGTAATATTTAGTCTACCCTGAAGGTCTAACTTTTATTTACGTTTGAAAGAGAAACAAATATGATTAAATAAAGCTTATTTACATCAATTCCTAGACAGTGAAATGATATAGCTTGAATACAAAAGAGTATTCCTGGTAATTACGACAGTACTACAAAGAGCAGATTTTTTTTAGGATCTTATTTTTTATTGTGGTAATTGAATGATAAGGTATTACCAGGCAGTAACTGGCGATATTGGCCTATGCTAGCGGGGTACCAATAAAGGATAATATGCGAGGATGAAAGAAACTCAGCACATTGTGACGAATTAACCAAGGTAGTTTCCAGGGGGAACCGCGCAGAGTTCGACCTAATATTGCTAGCAATTGGGATATTACAATTTCTTTTCTGCCAAAGGATCGTATTATAGGGATTAAAAATAATCTTTTGTTACCAATACTTTATGTGTTCACTGAGATGCTGATTACTAAACTACATATGACATGGAAAATGTTTTGAATACATTGGAATCTTCTCACAACTAGCAAAATAATATGAAAAATTACAAAGAAATAAGAAATAAATAAATAATAATAATAAATAAGATATCCATAATAAAATATAGATTTAGTACTTTATTACGTTCAACTTTATTACACTAGGTTTTATATCGATATATGTAACAGCGTAAATGTTTTGTTCCACTATTTTACGTGCTCCACAACAAACTTTGTTATTTTAAACATTTTACGAGTCAACATAAAATATTATAATGCAAAACACGCGATTTCGTTCTACACTCGCTCAAAGAATAGCTGATTCACAGTTTTAGTATTATTAATTTCTCTTTGCTCACAAATACAAGTAGGTTACATGAATCAAACTTCAATATAGGTATGTTATGGTTATTTCAAAACAGTGTACTTTGTTGGAAGAATCTAACTATTGTTAGTCGATATATTTGTTGTTTATAATGTCTACTCATATGTGTTATAAGCTCTGATATGTTGCTGCAAAAAAATTTGTATCTGGAATATATGAGAACACTTATTGAACTATTTATGTTTTAATTTGAATTTTAATCATTATGATTAATAGCATGTCTAAAACATATGTAGGTATAAATTTAGTAGTTTGAAGATTATTTAAAAATCTTATAAATTTGCTAGATATATGACACATACACCAGTGAATATATTGCCACTATTACACAATACAAGTCAATGGCCATAGTATTTCAAGCTATTCATTTCATTGACAGTGATTTAAAACGTGACATAATGGATAATACAAAATTATATTCATACATTGATATGGCACAGTGGCGTATGCTATGCGATCAGCGACGGTTGCTCATTGCGCCACAGTGGCGCGGGCGCAGAGAAAGCGTGTGACGTCACGACCTCGACACGCTCACCTACTTGCCGGCGCTGCCTGCAGCAACCCACTTCTGTCGATACCGGCCCAATGTCGCCGAGCTTTCTCTACGTTCGTGCCGCTCCTCACGGGTTACTCTTAATAATTATACAACTAGTAACTTGTTAACTTCTTCGTCTAGTAGATAAGTCGCGCACACTTTCGCTCGTACTCGTAGTTAGTAGTTACTACTGTCATGACTACATTGTTTAAAGATAAATGTTTTCTGATTACTGTAGTTGGTCGTGTGCTTGATGTGAAAATAAATATCAAGTTAAATTTTTATAGTTCACTGTTTACATACATGGTGCCTTCTTTTTTTTTAACTTCATTGAAATAGATTCATTATTCCAATGAAGTTAAAAAAACCAGAAATCAGAATAACCATCAGAATCTCCAATAGTAAAGTTTGTGGGACAAAGTACTAATATTTCGATTAGTATAATTTATATTGTATATTATATATAATACTGTATATATATATATATATATATATATATATATTCATATTATCATTAGCTTGAGAATATGTTAAGATAATTTTCTCTACCTAATCAAATTTATTACTCTTTCTATATAAACTATTTTACTTTCACAAGCTCTATAGATGCAGTTTTTATGGGAGAAAGAGCAAAAGCAACGGCGCCAGCATAAAATTTAATGGTATTCGTAACAGAATCTAAATTTTGTCCGAAACAGCATCCGAATATTATTCGCCATATCAGCGACGGTTTGAAGCCAGTTCTGTCCGTTGCATCGCACATCGTAACATGACGTTCTTGCTTCATCCGAACACAGCGGTGCCGTTCCTTCAGTACTAGACCAAGCGAGGATTTGCTTTTACGACGCCAGCAATAAACTTTTATTACTCATTACGATAACGCTAGAATGAAATACGCCGAG